TAATTTTCATAAAATCAAAAAAAAGACTTTTCTTATTGCATTTGGCATAAAACGTAAAACTTTGAACGTGTTTGTCACGTTTGACGTGCAAACGTTTAGTTGATAGGTGCTAGAAATGAAATTGGTATGAAAATGAATACAAAATTTACTTTTAAAAATTGTAAAGTAACTTTTAAAATTTTTACATGAAATGGCTGATAAGTTAGGATAGTATCTGGGAAATTTTGAAATTAATTGTTTGAAAAAACTAAAACCTCAAAAAATTAAAAATGACCTCTATAAACATTCATCCGGAATATTTATTTATAGAAGCCGGTCAATAAATCATTTCATTTCAGCTTTACTGCCGTAATGGTCAATCACATATTCCGGAAACACGAGTTCCATCCTTATGTCCATCATCCAGCACGTCGTGCGGTTATTTCGAATTCGGAAAAATATTTTTGCCAGGAGATAAGGAAGAACTGTTAGCATTCTATGAATGTATCGATTCCAGTATTCTTATTACTGATAATGATGATAATGATGAGCTAAAACAGGTTCACATATTGCATATTTAATTTTTAAAAAATCATTTCGAATATTTTTTTTTTAAAAAATCAAAGAAATTTAAATCAAAAGAGAAGAAAAACAAAAACTGATAACTAGGATTACAACAGGATAGAGTAACATTATCTGTTAACAATTATCAGTTTTAAATGATTATCATCAATCATTATTATAACTGAAATGTCTTATAATTTCTTCTCACTTAAAAATTAAAATAATTTTTGAACAATACTAACATATAATTAAACAATTACAATGCAATTAATTAAAGTTTAATAATTTGTGCTTTGTAAATTAAAATTAATCATTGCAGTTTAATCCAACTGCAAAATATTTATTTGAATCTTATAAAATAAAATTAAATTTAAAACAAAAATCTTTTGTACAAATGAAATTGCTAAAATTGTTCATTAAAATTTAAATTTTAATAGCAAAAAAGAAAAGATTCAGAATAAAACTTTTTCATATTTAAAATTTATGAATATCTAATCGCTAATATCAATGCTAATTTTATTTTAGTTATTATTTTCGAAATATTGTGATGATCAGGCACGTTGTCGAGAAATAATGCTTTCTTCATTCAATCCTAAATTTATTCAATATTTAATTGAACAAAGTGATGATAGATATTTGAATAAGAGAAATGATGATAAATTACAACGATTATTGACAAAGAGAATAAAATTTTGTTGTGCTATCAATGATTATCTTCTTCAGAAAATTATTCATTCTAATGAAAATGTTCTTCGTAAGTTCTTCTTCTTTTTTTTTTCTCTTCCCTTTTCATTGGCTAATTAATTAATTCTCTCTTTAAATTAATAAATTAAATATGATTATTCGAGAATTTAAAAGAAAAAAAAGACAGAAACAGAAACAGAAATGACAATTAAAAATCTTTGTTTATTTTATTTAAAAATTATTTTATATCTTTCTAAACTGTGATAAGCATATTTTGTAAGAAAATTAATTGATATGACTATTTATTAAAAATATAATTTTAAAAAATTTATAATTTAAAATATAATTTAAAAAAAAAAGAAAATTAAATGAATTTTTTCAATGTGCTCTTTTGTTTACAGCAACATTAGCACCTGCTGAACCAGTCATCTGCAATAATGTTTACTGTCAAGGTGCGCCAATTGGTTGTCTCAGTTACACGCAATACAATCAAACGAAACAATCAGAAGGAGTCGAGAATGAGAACGAGAACGAGAACGAGAACGAGAACGAGAGGGATGTCATATTTGTACAACCTGTACATATCAATTATGAAGATTATACAATGATTTCATCTCAAGTATTCATATTTTAAAATTTATATGAAATACTGCAAGAAAAATAATTCAAAATTTATTTAAAATATAGCGAAGAAAAAACAATAAAAAAAAAAAAAAGAAATAATATATAAGTTTTTTTTTTTAATTTTGTTAAAACAATAAATTTTTCAAATAATTTAAATTGAAATTTTTGAAATAATTTAAATTTATAGTTGTAATGTTAGTTTGTTTTATTTTTGTTAAGAATTTTGTTAAAACAATAAATTTTTCAAATAATTTAAATTGAAATTTTTGAAATAATTTAAATTTATAGTTGTAATGTTAGTTTGTTTTATTTTTGTTAAGAATTTTGTTAAAACAATAAATTTTTCAAATAATTTAAATTGAAATTTTTGAAATAATTTAAATTTATAGTTGTAATGTTAGTTTGTTTTATTTTTGTTAAGAATTATTTATTTTAGTCTATAAATAATAAATATATGATGAAGTATACAACCGAATATCATTGTGTTTATCGACATTTTAACGATGAATTATATCGATACTGCTTGCTGATAAATGATCAGCCATCTAGTGATAATCATTGCTTTTATGGTGATGGTTATCATATATGTTGTTGTTTTCTTCAAAGAGGTATCATTTAGTAAATATAGCTATTCAAATATGCTAATTAATATTTCAAAATTATATTTTCAATTTTTTTTCAAAAAAAAAAAGATTTATCTAAAAAAATTTTTTTAGGTGCTCGAACTTGTGATCCGTTATCAGCAAAAATAATCGCGAAAACATCGACAGAAATTTCTGAAATTATTCCCAATAAGTCGACAATATCTTTGCATGCATTTAATACAAATATTAAAACTAAACTTCGTACTAAGTTTGTTCTTTTTTTTTTTTTTTTGTTTGAAATTGGATTTTTTTTTACTTTCTTATTAACTGAAATGCAAAATAAATTTAAATTACACATTTTAATTTATATTTTTTAAGTTAAATTTACAAACGTTAATGTGTGCAAATACAATAAATGAAAATAGAATGTCAATTAGTAAGCAAATTTTGATAGCTTATCATTAATTTAATATTTCTGATTATTTAATAATTAGATATTCGAATTTATTTGAATTAAATTTTTCACTGAACAACTAATTAGGAATTTTTCAAATGATTGATCATTCTCAGTATATCATAAACTAGCAGAAAGTATTTAATTTCAAATTTGTTTATCATTTTACAAATTATAAGTGATAAAAAAGTAATTATTACTTTTAATATTAAAGTATAATCGTTTAAAAGTCTTATCACTAATTTGTAATTAATTATTTTTGTATATCTCATTATCATTTATAAGTTCAGATGTCGCGCAGTTTATGAGATGTCATCAGAATCTGAAATTTCGATGAATCGTAATGGTCGGAAAAAATTCTTTTGCGAAACAAATGTTATTAGCATATCAAATTCGTTCTATTTTTGTCATATTTTACTTATACTTTGTTACTTTATTAATAATTATTTTAGTATAGTTGTTATTTTATAAGTTATTTATGAAAAATGAATTTAAAATAATTACAATTGAAAGAAAATTGTGTGCTGTTTCCTTTTTAAGTTAAAATTAAATGACTGATTTGAATTTCAATATTTTCATGAAAAGATAGAAACGAATAATTCTTTACTTATATTTATAAATAAAATGAGAACCTATTAAAAGGTGAGCAATTGAAATGAAGCAGTAATTGTTGTTGGATTATTTTAAATAATAATTTAAATTGATTGATTATTATTAATGATACTGATAAGCAATTGTTATCAATCAAAAGCGATAAATGATATGAATTATTTACAGTATTAACAATATCAATAAAAATTAAAAAAAAAAACTGAATTATTCATAAGCGACGGATTAATTGTTGAAATTAAAAATAATATTTAGAAAGTATTCAGTTTGACAAAAAAATTAATTAATAATTTTCAATTGAATGCAAAAAAAAAAAAATGAAACAAATAAAAGAGTAAAACTTATTTTTACAATTATAATAGACATTTAAACTTATTTTATCACATCTTTTTCTTTTTTTCCAATAAAAATTTTAAGCTAAATGATTAAAGAAAAAATTTCTCTCTTTAAAACAATATTGTCAAATGAAAAAATTTTTTTTTCTTCGACAATTTTCATTTTCCAATTTTCCATTATTTTTTCAAGAAATTAATTTTAAAAATGAATTTTAAAAAAAAAAAAGTGTAAGCATATTTTTTTCTTTCGTTCAATAATAAATTTTGCACACATCAAATTGATTACTTCCAAATTGATTATAATAGTTTTTTCATGCATCTTTCAACAATTTTCATTTCATGGCTTTTCTTAATTTTCAAATAAACTTTCTCTTCAATATAACTTTTAAACTGAAAACTCTCTCAAATGAATTTTTTTTTTTTAAAGTTTGAAATTAATATTCTGTTGCTTTTCCTTCTTTTCTTATTATCTGTCTAATTATAATGAAAAATTTTCAAATACTTTTCTATCTTTTTTAAGTGAAAAATTTTAAATAAATTAATAAGACATGAATTACACATTCAAAAATTAATAATTTTTATAAAATTTACATTTGTACATTTCAAATTTATTCATATCATTCATTTTCTTGTACATTTAATTTTAATTAAACATTTTGCATACTTTTCAATTTTCAGTTTATTTCGGAATTATTCCAGTAGAATCGAAAAGTTTTATATTTTTTTTATGTTTTTCATTTTTTGTTTTATGCTATCAAATTTTTCATCTTTTTATATGGGAAATTCTCTTTGAAATAAATGAAGGATGATGTAATGAACATTTCAACGTATATTTAAATAATTAGCTTATTTTATCTCTTTGATATTTAATTAATTAATTAATATAATTAAGTAAATAAAATAGCTTTTATAGATAATTCGTGATAATTTGATTTAATTGTAAAATTAGGTAAACGATGTAAAATGATACAATTTCAATTAGTATTGAGTAATGATTCCATAATTTCAAAGTATTTTATAAATAAGCGAGCAATAAATGTAACTAAAAAATATAATTTTGTGTGTTTATTAAACAGATAAATAAGATTTTTAATTTTTAACTTAAAAATTTTAAATTTAAAAATTCTACAATATATGCGAATTATTTTTTAGCAAAAAATAAATTCAATGTCGCTTATATCGGTTCCATTAGCAATACCGGAAGATTACATTTCATCTTCATCGGGTAGGTTTTCAATTAAATGTGATGTGTTTCTTGTCATCTGAATTGATGACACATTCTTATAGAAGGTGCGTCAGACATTTTGGTGACAGCGACAAATGCGCCTAACAAAGAAATGGGCGGTAAAGATGAAAAGAATGTAAGAGAAGAAAAAAGAAATTCGATGGAATCAATGCTATCACCGCTAATTACATATATGCGACTGTTGGGCTTTACAAATATAACAAATAATGATCGATTACAGAAACCTTTGCTAGTTTACAATATTTTGGTGATAATTTGTTTGGTAAGTGTATTTGAATTGCTGTAATCAGGGAATGATAATGATGATAATGCTACTGTGATAATAATAATAATTTAATAAAAATAACAATAATAAGTAATAATAAAAAAACAGGAAACAATTGTTTATAAGCTAGAATATAGTGATTATAAATAGTGATAACAATATTGAATAACTCCGAATAGTGATTATAAATAGTGATAACAATATTGAATAACTCTGAATAGTGATTATAAATAGTGATAGCAATATTGATTAACTCTGAATAGTGATTATAAATAGTGATAGCAATATTGATTAACTCTGAATAGTGATTATAAATAGTGATAACAATATTGAATAACTCTGAATAGTGATTATAAATAGTGATAACAATATGAAATAACTCTGAATAGTGATTATAAATAGTGATAACAATATTGAATAACTCTGAATAGTGATTATAAATAGTGATAGCAATATTGAATAACTCTGAATAGTGATTATAAATAGTGATAGCAATATTGAATAACTCTGAATAGTGATTATAAATAGTGATAGCAATATTGAATAACTCTGAATAGTGATTATAAATAGTGATAGCAATATTGAATAACTCTGAATAGTGATTATAAATAGTAATAACAATATTAAATAATTCTGATAAAATTTCAAGACAAGAAACAATTGATAAAACAAATAAATTGTCACATTAATTTCATAAATTCTAGCTTATAAACAAAGTTGGAAATCAAGAAAACAACAAAATTCTTTGCTTAAAATTCATTTAATAGCGATGAATTTTGTGTCAAATAAATTTGTTTAATAGCAAATTTTAATTTTAAGGCTATAAGAATAACTAAAATTTTGCTGAATAAATTATTTTTATCAATTTCCTTTTTTATATATTTTATTTTTTTTAACAATTATTTGCATAATTATCACGCAATACACAAACTTTTATTCCTTTCGTATGATGGATTTACGGTACGATTTGCATTTACAACTGCAAATGCACTCTTCTTAGCAAGGTAAAATTAATAAAATAAATTGTAAATTATAACAAACTTCGAAAATTATTCTTTCTCGTATATAAAATTTTTTTTATTTATTTGAAATGTTTCATCATTTTAAAATAAATTTTTCATTTTTTTCTTTCATCGCTTTTTTTTTTTGCTTAATTTTTAATTGCTATAAAGAAAATTCTCTTATTTTTTTTGTAAACTAATGTTTGAGTAAAAATGTAAAAAATTTAATGGTCGATTTTTAAAAAGAAAGTTCTAATTTATAAATTTGAAATTAAAAATTTAAGAAATAAAAATTGTTTACAGTGGTGGCATTTGTGCATCATTTCTATATTTCATGCAAAAAAATTTGTTAATGTTAAACGAAAGTGTTATCAGTCAGATAGAATCATTTGATGAAAAATTTTATTGCTCGAAAAGAATACGAAAATTTTGTAAATTAATGGTTGTTGTTATTTTCGTTTCTTCTTGTATTACCGTCCTTTTTGATAGCAGTTTGTTTTGTTTTTGTTTTTTTTTTTTTTTTGTTTCTTTCTTCAGAATACAAAGTTATAAAATTTAATTAGTTGCTTTTTAAATTATTTTAAAATTAAAATAATTTTCACTTAAAATTAGCAATGAAATATTAGTAATTGATAAAAAAAAAAAATAAATAATAGTAATTTGAACAGAGCTTTAAATTATAGTAATATATTTTATATTTTATTTTATTTTATCATAAAATGTTACATCAATTTGAAATGTTTCATGCAGCAATCAATAAGTAATTAACTAATTAATTAATTAATGCAAATATTCAAACAATAATTGATGCATTTATCTCTTTTCCCCGTTCTTCTAAACAATTTTTATTATCTTTCGAGAGGAAAAAGATCACCAAAAACGCTTAAATTAAATATAAACAAATGTAATTAATTCATAATTCTTATTATAAACAAAATCCTATTAATATGAATGCTTTACACGCAAAGTTAGCTTAAGAATTTTGCAAAAAAAAAAAAGAACTTTTATTTACATTTAACTTTTCTTCTCTGTTTAGCTTTCAAAAAGGCAAAAAAAAAACAAATTCATTGAGATATAAATTGAAATAAACTATGAAATAAACTATATCATTTTAAAATTATTTCTATCAGTAAACAAATAATTAAAATAACTGATAAAAGGAAATAAAATATTTTGCACTAATTGTTTGAATAAAATAAACAACAATCAAATATTAAATGAAATAAATTGCATTACTGTAAACATTTATATATCAATGAAGAAAATTTATAGTACAACGTATTGAAGTAACAACTAACGATCACGTAACTTTCACGTTTTATACTATTTATTACTTCGTTGATTATTACGTGGCATTTATGGCGCAATCAGCTTTAATGAGTTGTACAATACTTTATTTCTTGCCAAACTATATTTTGGCACGATGTTTGGATAAGCTTATAAATGATATGTATCATGCTGGAGTTATGCTTGATGGCGAGTAAGTATTACTTAATTTCTCTTTTTCTCTTTTCTCTTTAAAGTATATTTTTTTTTTCTAAATTTAATAAATTTTAATTAATCAAATCAAATATAAGAATGATAATATTTGAATAATATGAGAAATATGATAAGATATGTAATCATTAAGATTTTAGTTTTGATTATTTTTAAGATTTTGATTTTTAAATTGTTTCAAGTCATATTTATCACTATGATAATGATCTTTAGCATAATTGTAAAACGGATTCAAATTCAAATTAAAATGTCAGATAGATTTAATGATTTGAATTTGTTTTCCTTCAATGAGTGAATGTTATCATCAATATTTCTGTGTGAAACATTCAAATGTTTATTTTTTTTTTTTTTTGTTTAAATTTCATATTATAATTTAAAATTGAAATCGTTTTGCATGAAGGAAAGCTCTGATATTAAAAAAAAAGTGTTAAAATAATAGTACAAAGACGATTTTTATCAGAAATTATTAACAAGAATTATTATTATTATTATTATTATTATTATTATTATTATTATTAATATTAGGAATAGTAAAATTTTAAATTGACAAAGTTAAATAAAGTGAAATAAAAAAAAGAAGTAATAGTAGTAAGGGAAAAGTTGATAATTTAATAAAACAGTAAAATACTTTTTATTCATTCAAATATTTGATTAAAAATGATAACTATAAAATAAATAATAAAGGTCTTTCACAGGATGACATCTGAAAATGCTCTAAATAAACTGGAATCATTCCAGAAGCGATATCAGGTTATCACTATTAAAAATGCTATTTGATTGTGGTGATAATGATAGTGAATAAATGATTGTATTGTATGATGATAAACATAACAAATGATAATTAGAAGAATTCATAATCATGAAATGTTAACTTTTGAGATGGATGGATGGATCAGTTTGAAGATGAATGTTTTATTCAGAAAATATTGCAAAATTTCCGATCTAATTGATAAGAACGAAAAAAAAAAAACTATTCTTTAACACTTTGTATTGTTTCTTTAAAAAAAAAAAAATTATTGATTTAGACTAATTTAAATTATTTCTTTCTTTCAAAAATTTGATAATTTTCTTAAATGTTACATATATTTTGTAAATTCTTTGTATTTGTTCATTTATTTATAATTTCCCTCAATTTCTCTCATTTCTAATTACTTCTAAAAAATTTTCAGCTTCTCAAAAAAGCCGCTAATGTTATCGAATTTAATTTTAAATATATCGCATTCTATGTGCAAACGATTTGTTTAATTGAATTGTCCTGTCTACTTTATGCATATTTACAAAATTTAAATTGGAATTGGTTTGATACAATATTATTTCTCATTTTCGTTATTCAAATCACTTCATTTATGTTATCATTTATAGTACCAGCATATCTCAATTATGAAAAGGTTTTCTCTACTTATTATTACAATTAAATTTTGTAATCTAATTAGATTGGACAGTGCTAAAGGATAATAAATGAATAGTGAAATATTGAAATTTACTTATACATTTAAGAATAATTTCTTAAAAGTTCCAGTTATCATTTTATTAGTGCAAAAATTTCAAATTTTCAAATTAGTTTGAAAATAATAATAGCACTAATGATTTTTTTTTTTGAAACTTTTAATGGTCAGAAAGTTTTGTATACTTTATTAAGTTGTTAAGAGGAAGAATTACCAGTAATTATGCTTTTGAAATGATTAATCCAATTGCTGAATATTATAAAAAAAAAAAAGAATTGTTGAATGATCAAAGAAATAATTTTGATATTGATATTATTTATCATCCTTTGATATATATAGTTCTTGTAATTGTTCCATTTAGTATAAATAAGTAAACAGTAAATATGAGTAATACTACTTACTAATGTGTTTATTAATTCTTTGGCATTACTTTCCGTTTCTTTTTTTTGTTAATTTTAATCAAAACAATATTTTATAGAATAAAAAGATATCGGAAATATGTCCGGAAATGTTCGAAAAACAAATGCAAAAGGATTCAAATGTTGTGCTAGCGGTTAGTTTCGCAGGGAAATTATTTCTTAGTGTGTCATTTTCAATTTTTTTTTTTTGGATTAAAAAGCAAAGAATTTTAGGGTTTGAAAATAAAAATGAAAACATACTTTTGATTTTTAATATTTGGTAATAAGATAATAGCTCTCAAATGGTTCATGATCACAAGTATTCATTTCTAATCTACCTATAAATAATTTACCGGATAATCGGATGATTAGTTTAGGTTAGGATTACAAACTTTTATTGTAAAATGTTTTTTAGCTTAACTGATTTCGCACTTATAGACTAAAGTGCTAATGTTTATGTATCAACTTGAAGCAATGCCAATAATTTTCACTTCTGGTGGATTCTTCGTTGTCAAACGTTCACTTCTTCCTACAGTGAGTGTGTTCCTGCTTTCAAAAGAGTTTTTAATTTAACCTTAATCTTAATCTTGTTTGAATATAATTATATCTAATTTAACAAATGTTTTATTATCCTAAGCTGGTTTCGTTCATGCTCACTTATGTTTTCCTGATGATTCAAC